GAATTTTAGAAGTTCTATATAGTCTGGATTTTAATCTCTTGTTGAATTTATGACACAAAAATAATTTGTCTCATTCTGTGGATTATCTCTTCACTCTCTTGACAGAATCCTTTAATGCATAAAGTTTTTAATTTTGATGCAGCCCAATTGATATATTTTTTCTTCTGTTGCATGTGCTTTTAGTGTCATATCTATGAAACCACTGCCAAATTCAAGGATATGAAGATTTATTCCTACAGTTTTTTTTCTTTATAACAATTTTATAGCTTTAGCACTTACATTTAGGTCTTTGACTCATTTTTAGTTAAATTTTGTATATGGTATGAAGTAAGGATCCAACGTCAGTTTTTGCATGTGGATATGCAGTTTTCCCAGAACAATTTGTTGAAAAGACTGTCCTTTCCACGTTTTGTTCTTGGCACCCTTGTTGAAAATCATTTGGCTGTATATGTGAGAGTTTATTTCTGGGCTTTCTATTCTCTTCCATTGGTTTATACCTCTGTCCTTATGCCAGAACCACACTTAATTGCTGTAGTTTTACGATAAGTTTTGAATTCAGGTAGTGTGAGCCCTCCAACTTTGTTCTGTCTCTCAAGATTGTTTTCGCTATTAGGGGGCCTGTGTAATTCCACGTGAGTTTGACTGTCAGCTTTTCAATGTCTGTGAAAAAAGCTGTTGGAATTTTGATAGGAATTGCATTCAATCTGTAAATCACTTTAGGTAGTATTGACATTTTGACAATGTTAAGTCTTCCTACCCACAAACACCATGACTTTCCATTTATTTAGATCTTCTTTTATTTCTTTCAGCAATGTTTTGTTGTTTTTAGCATTCAAGTTTTTCACTTCCTTGATCAGATATATTCCTAAGCATCTAATTCTTTTAGATACTATTATAAATGTATTTATTTTGTTAATTTTTTTAATTGTTCATTGCTGGTATATAGAAACACAACTAATTTCTCTGTGTTGATCTTGTACCCTGCAACTTTGCTAAATTCATCAATTAGCTCTAGAAACTTTTTGGTGATTCTTTGGCATTTTCTATGTATAGGATAATGTCACTGTGAATAGAGATAGTTTATCCCTTTCTTTCCAACTTGAATGCCTTTTATTTCTTTTTGTTGTCTCTAACAGCTCTGGCTAGAACTTCCAGTACAATGTTGAATAGCAGCTGTGAAAGCAGGCACCCTTGTCTTGTTCCTGATCTTAAGGAGAAAGCTTTCAGTCTTTCATTGTTTATGATGTTAACTGTCTGTTTTCCATAAATATTGTTTATCATGTTGAGGAATTTTCTCTCTAATCCTGATTTTCTGAGAACTCTTATCATGAAAGGGTGTTGAATTTTTGAAATGCCTTTTCTCCATCCATTGAGATGATCATTTCCCACCCCCGACTCCGTTCTGTTACTGAGAAGTATTATATTGATTAATTTTCTTTGCATTCCTGGGATAAATCTCACTTCTTCATGGTGAATAATTCTTCTAATATGCTGTTGGATTCTATTTGTTAAAATTTTCTTGAGGATTTTTGCATCTATTATATATCATCAGAGATATGGATGTGTAGTTTTCTGTGTCTTTATCTGGCTTTGGTCTCAGGGTGACGCTGGCCTCATGGAATGAGTTAGGACATTTGAGAAGGAGGCCCATCTACTCAGTCTTGGTCCCTCTTTCCTTCTGTTCACATATTCAATTTACTCATCTTTAAACACACCTATGTGTAGTTGCTTCCAGATCTGTATTTCCAACCTGATCTCTCCTCTCAGCACCAAGCTCATTCAGCAGTTGGTCCACTCTACAGGTCAAACAGATATCTCAGTGTTAGTATGTCTTCTTCTTCAAAATCTGCATTTCCCCCCAGTCTCTCCCATCTCCGTAAGTATCTCATCTTCCACCTGCCGATCAGACGCCAAATCCTGAAATGCTGTCCTGGTGCTGATTCTCACCTGCAGACAGCAGAATCCACTGTAGCTAATTTATGCAGTAAGAGATGTAGTAGAAGATATTAGTAGATTATAGCATCTGTGAGAGGGTCAAGTAACAAGGAACAGCCAGAATCATCAACAATCCAGAGAAACACCTGACCATGCCGTAAGGGTGTGTTAGCAAAACTCCCACTGCCCCGCTCCTTTCTGCTCAGCACCACTGCTGCCAGGGACAGACCTGAACTGCCCAGACAAACCAATCACCTCCACCGCCAATCTGCTGTGACGGCCACTGCTTTCTGTGGCTCCTTCCACATCTCATGTGGTGCATGTCTTAGCAAAACCAGGCCCATCTGTGATCTCAGACTCCAGGGACCCAGGGCATGGAGCTTCACAGTCTGCAGCTTCTGCACGCAGGAGAGCACGCAAGAGGTGCTGGGCATGGGCTGTGCTTAGCTAATTCGAAATACCCCCCAGTGTCCTCCTTGGCTTCTCCTCCCTCACTCTCTACAACCAGCTGTCAGCCAGTCCTCTCGGCCTCTCTGCTTCTAAGTATATCCTGCTCTGACCATTTCTCACAACCCCTGTCATTCCCACTGTGATCCAGCCCTGTCACTCTCACCAAGATTGTAGTAAGTGCTTCCTGACTGGTCTCCCTAACCTTGACCGTCTGGGGTCTCCACACTGCAGAGGGTGAGCTATTTGGAATGTACATCAAATAGGGTCACTTCCTTTCCAAACTCTCTCCACAGTGGTTTCCCACGACCCTCCAACTAAAACAGAACACATCACTGTGACCTAGTCATCCCTGCAGCCTTTCCACGCTTGTGTGCTTCGCGTGGCCCTCCTTCACCGTGCTCGCAGGCACACTGGCCTTCCCCAGGCACACCAGATCCATTTCCAGCCCAGGGCTTTGCATAGGCGGCTCCTTCACTTTCTTCCGATCCCTGCACAGTCTCCTCCACCTTGACCATCTGCTTTATCTAGGTTTATGTTCTCTGTTCATTGGTTTATTGTTTGTCTCCCTCCACTGGAATGTCAGACCCTCAAGGGACCTGACGAGAGCTGTGCTGCGACTGGCCAAAAGTAGATAATCAGTTAAGTGTCTTTTGAATAAATGAAACCATCTCAATTGTCCGAGTTTTGGGAAAAACAACTTAGAAAACATCCCTGACTTCATGGGTACCCAGCAAGGAAGGTACCCAGCAAAAATGACAGGAGGCAGCACAAGGAGGACTCCGGGGCTTGCCCTGTGCAGGCCCAGCTTTCCCCTGCACGACAGAGGTGTGGCAGGATGGACTCCACCTGGAGGCCCCCAAGTCTCCAGTAAGAATGAGAGTCCAGGGCTGCACCTTGACCAGGCATCCGGGTTGCTGTGGACCTCCCCTAAGGTCAGCTCCTGGATTCTGGGGAACCTGGTGAGGGACAAAGCCACCTGCTCTGGAGGTAGAGGCGTGCCAACGCTCCCAGTTCTGTCCTGGCAGGTGCTTTGGGACCGTACAGGTTTATAAAGCCTGGCTCCTGTTTCTAAAGTGTCATGGTCAGGACTCCCACAGGGAGAGCTGGTGGCAGAAGAGCAAGGCAGGGATGCTTGGGGGCCGCAGGGAGGCACAGACAGGGGAAACACCCAGATTCACCCCGAGACTGGCAGACTCTGCTTGGGCTTATTGGGAGGTCTGGAGGTTCCAGGAAGCAAGGCAGGGACCAACCAGAAGAATTCCAAAAGGTCCTGTGCTGGGGGAGGGCGCAGAGCTCACCTCTGCCACCCTTACAGCCATTCCCTAGGTAACCTGTGGCCAAGAGTGTGGCTCTTTTCTCTGAACAACTGAACTTTATCCCCAAATGAGCATGTTTGCTCCTTAGTGGCTGGGTGAGCCTGTACCCAAGTTTCCAGTCAGGACACAGCAGAATGAGAGACGTAAAGATGAGCAGGCTCTGCTGGGATTACCACCCATTAGAGGGGGCCGGTTCACTGGGACCCTGGCTGCATTCCCAGGCCGTCAGGAAATGTGTTCCACCAAAACTCTACAAGTTGCCTCGCTACAGGGAAGTCAATTTTCACTGTGGTGTGGGAGATACTGTGCTTTTTGGAGGTTGGCTATCAAACAAGGCATTAAAATTGCAAAGTCAGTGGAAGCCTGTTCAACTCTGGGTGCCTGACTCCCCAAAGAGGAGAAGGTGGGCACCAGCTCAAGACCAGAAGGCTCAGGATGAAATCCCCATAAGCAGAGTGCTCACTTGGACGGGAAGAGAAGGCCATTCCGTCTACCCTAGCAGAAATCGAAATCCAATTTAGCTATACCTGTGGAAATCAGGGGTCCAGCTGTCTTTACTAAGTACCTCTACACCAGCGAAGAGAGGGACCTGTCAGTCTACATCTGTCTTCACTGGGGAAAGTCAGGGTTCAGTAGTCTTGGCTGGCAGAAATCAGGGTCTGGTCTGTGTCTACACCGGCGGAAATCGGGTGCAGAGCCACAGCCACTGGTCTGAGAACAAAATGGCAAGTTTCCAAGGCTTCGTGAGAACAAAGTAAAAGAAAATGCCACCACCGCCCCATCTCCAAGAGGGAGGAGCCCCGCCGGGCCCCGCCCAGGTAAGAGCGTCAAGTCGAAGCACTTGCATTCAGGGTCCGCCTCCCCGGGGGCAGGCAAGGAGGACCCCACGTTCGCCTGTAGGCCCCAGGGGTGGGGAGGGTTAGGCTCCGCTCCCGCCAGGTAGCCCTCACTCAAGGTGAGACTCGGCCTCCGCCTGGAGCGCCTGCAAGGTGAAACCCCGCCTGGGAACGGGGGTGGGTGGTGAGGTTGAGACCCCGCCTCCGTGCTCTAGCGAGGTGAGGCCCCGCCCCCTTCTGGGAGCCCCCCTCGGAGTGAGGCCCATGCCCCGCCCCCGCCCGGAGCCCCCGCGAGGTGAGATCCCGCCCTCGTGGTCCGCCCAGCGCTTCCGCCGCCGGGCGGAGTGGGGGCGCGGCCGGGGAGGGTCCACCAGGCCCACTGCGGGCCTTCTCCCGCCCCGGCTCCGGGCGGTGGCCTCAATGGGGACGTTGGCCCCTGAAGCCGGACAAAGGCGGCACCACCATGGCTCTCAGCGCAGACGGCTCCGGCGACAAGGGCTCGAGCGCCCAGGTAAGGAACCGGCCGCGGAGAGGTGGGGTCCAGAGTGCCTCCGCTGCAGCCGCGGGGAGGAAGCTTTGACTTTCTCCTCTTTGGAACACAGTTTAGCAAACTTTTCCCTTAACCTCATGAATATTTATGAGGAAAATATGCTTTCCAAGACCGATTTGCATTCCTGGGGTCTAAAGGGAGTGCAGAGGGAGGGAGTGTAAGACAAAAAGACACTTGTGAAATTGTTGCCAAGGATGAGAATGTTCCTAAGTTACTCATTAGCTCAAAACTGGTAGGACAATCCAATGAACTGTGGGTGCACAAAAGCACAGAAATTTTACTGAAAGAAATACCAAGAAATACTGGTAGGTCAGTTGATTTAAATAATGAACATTGCCTAGTAAAACAAGGTAGTCATAACAGGTTTGGAAAAGTGTGATGGAAGCGGTTTTGTATAGCTTCATGTGAAATGCAAAAAGAGAATTGGATTTGTCTTACCCTTTTCCCCGTGAAACTAAAGTGTTTGGTAAAGTAATTACACTTGATTCTTGTTATCCAACAGCATTTTCACTTAAAAAATTTTAGTTGGTACTTTCAGGTGTGTCATTAAGAATTAAAACATGCAATTCAAAATTAAGTTAAATGTGATTGAAACTGTGCATAAGTAATAACTTTATGAAATGGCAGTGCTAAACAGGCAGCGGGCACTGGGAGGAGAGTGAGCTTCTCAGCTGCATGTAGAGAGGTTTCAAAGTGGACAGACGTGAGATTTGGCTTCCGTGTCCTGAGCCTGCCTCCCATCCACAGGGTCTCTGGGTCTGGGGGAACTTCCGAGGTCACTTTATGGGAAACGTTTGCTCTCAGTGAAACGCATTCAGAGGCTGGTGTTTAACAGCTAGATACACGTTTCTAATCACAATGGGTTCCTATCTGCAGATCTGGGGATCCGCCACCGCAGTAACAAACCCAATTTTGCTTCTGAGGTGACAGTGCATTTTGATCACACTGTGCTGGGTCTAGTCTGCAAATGTGCAAGGCGGCTCGTGGACTGCCCAGGTGGGGCACCAAGATTAGAGCCATGTCATTAAGAGTCCTAGTGTTTTACCCCGTTGGAGGGGTCCAGTGTGGGTCTAGTCTGAAATGGCTGTGGTGAAATTAAGACCTTTGAGTCTGGGCATCAGTTCACGAGCCTGCCGGTGGTCTCACGTGAAGACTTGTAAAGCTAAGGAAATAAAGTCAGCCCTGAATTTGCCCTGAGATGTGTGGTTCACAGGTTGAATTATCCAACACAATATAGGAGCCTCCAGGTTCCCAAATCCCAGCGGCTTTTTAAGAAAGTCATTCAAGACCAATTCTCATGCCACCACCTCTCTCCTTCACACAAAACTGGGTCCTCTCTTTATGTTTGAACAAAAATATAAGCCATGTATGGCTGTCCACCCAAGTGGTACACCCATTCTTCAGATGGTGGGAAACGAGGCTTTTGGTTGCCTCTTGTCTCCCAGACAAGAAGCAGCCCTGGGGCCATGGTTTCCCTCACCACACCCAACATGGCTGCGCCCCAAGGCAGTGGTGCATCTGCTCAGGATTGAGCTCAGGACTTCCTTGACCTGCCTGGAAGCTGGGGGGGGCGGGGGGGGGCAAGGATTGAGGCTTCCTCGCCTGCATCCCTCCATGAGGGCTCACTGGTCCAGCTGAGGAGAATGAGCCCAGCACAGTTCTGAGGGGTGGGGAGTCAAGAGAGGAGGCTGGGGTGAGGGAGGTGGCGGGGGAGGGGGAGTGGTGGGTGGGCTGAGAGGTGCCAAGTCCTGTGCTGCACGTGTTGATCCTGGGTGCCTGGGGAATCTGGAGTCCTGTGAGAAGACATGCCCACTTTCACTATTTACAAGAGGCCAGGAGGCAGGTGCTGGTGGAGTGGGGAAAAGCCACCAAACCCCGACCTAGCACCCCAAGAACAGGCCTGGAGTCCTAGAGAATGGATGTACACCTGCATCCACCGTTTAGTAGCTGTCAGCCTATGGGTTAGTAGTTCACCCTCTCCGAGTTTCAGTCTGTGCATCATGTATAGGAGTAACACATGACTCACCTACCTATTGGAGCATTGAGCAAAAATGAAAAGAAGAGAACTCATGGACGTGGACAAGAGTGTAGTGACTGCTGCAGGGAGGGGGTGGGGAGGAGAGTACGAGGGTATGGGAGGGTAAATGGTGATGGACGGAGACTTGGGGTGGTGAGCACACAGTACAGTGTGCAGATGGTATGTTGCAGAATTGTGCGCCTGAAATCTGTGTAATTTTGTTAACCAGTGTCACCTCAATAAATTCAATAAAAAGGAAAAAAATTAAAATAACATAAAAATGGATATGTAGATGCTTCTGGAAAGGAAACCCAGTTCATCATTTAGCTGAATGTCCCCAAGTTGAGCACTGCCTCTGTCCTGATATCTGGGACACCTTTCCAGATGTTTCCAGGTGTCTCTGTTCCCACGTGGGCCCAAATTCCTTTAAAACTACTTGTGTTTCTGAGGCCTAAGAACAATGTTAAATCTAATACAACAACAGTTAGGAATTAATTAATTTGAACTTCTGCTCTAGAACTGATGAAGTCATCCATGTAGTGAGTATGTGTACCTCTCCTGGAGAAGTCTCACCTGCCTACAGCCTTCTGACCCAGGGACCCCCAGTCCTGGTGGGCATCACCCTCAGCAAACTTCCCCAGCCATCCTGCTTGCAGCCCGCCCTCCTGCTTGGTTTCTCCACATGTGGGTCTCCAGAGGAGGGTCTAACCTTATACCACCTGTGTCTTGCCCTTCTTGATTGCCCCTCTCCCCAGGCTTCATTTCATTCCCGTTGTTTCCCTGATGCCTGGAATAGTGCCTGTCACACAGTAGGTGTCACATGACGGTGACCCTCCCTCCCCTTCTAAAGCCTGTGCTCACTCCCCTGCCAAGTCCCACCTTTCTGTGGGTCACACAGATGCAGAGCCTGCCCTGTGGAACCTGAGGGAGCAGCCAGGGCACCGCTCATTCTGGGAAACCTTCTTTGTCTAAGTGGGATACAGTCAAAGCAGACCCAAGACAATTACAGAGAAAGGCTCAATAAACCCCGGTGTGACGTAATGAATGTGCTTTGTGTATGTGCTTTGGGGGTGGCGATGATGGTGAACAGAGCAGGAAAGAAATGCCTGAATATATTTCAAATGATAGGAAAAGGCAGCCAGGAGGATGACCCCTCCCTTCATTGTCAAGTGGAGTTGTGGTTTGGCCTGATAGAAAATCTTCAGCCTGTCATTAGTGGTGCGCCATCAGGTGACTGCCTGGAGAGCGAAGCGGTTGGAATGAGTTTGAGTGCTCTTGACTCTGTCCCCCCTCGAATGAGACAAAGGGCAGCGTGGTACAGAGGCGGTGGCTTGGTGGTTGGGATGTGGGCCGTGCAGCCAGAGGAGCCTAGGTTTAGTCCTGCTTTCCCCTTGAGACGGAGGGCAGGTCAGCCCCTCACCTCACGTCTTTGTTCTAAGCGTTACTGTGTGCTTAAAATACAGCATCTGCAGTACTGGAAAAATGTTAGCTGCTGTTCTGTGGTTCTGTATAGGGATTTAACTACAAATTTGAAAAAAATATTGAGTTTTAATTTTTTGTCAAATCACTTAAGGAAAAATATTCAATGAAGTTATCTTCAAGGCATTTTTGTATTCAAAGGTATCAACTGAGAAGAGGAATTATGACCACAATTAGGGACTGTTTTGACAATGTAATTGTTTATTTTTTATAAAAGAAATGTTTTATGGAAGTGCCCAAATCAAGAGGCCATGAACTGCACTTGGTTCCAAGGTCTCAGAGCTTTCCTTCTGGATTATTCAGAGATTAAAGAAAACCCAATTTGAACAAGCATTTAGTCAGTCTGAGTGCCACAATGGGTAAAAGAGTGAGTATTTGGTTCTCAAAGTGACATTTGTGTGTCCAGAGACTCATGACAGTAACACAGAGACTCATGGTGGCCAATGACATGTGCTGACTAGTCTCAGAGAAGAATGTAACTTGTGTCCAAAGCACAATGTTAATTAGGAAAAGCATGTGCAAGGGTTGTTGGGGATAGAGAGCAATAGCAATGCAACAGACGAGGAAAAAAGACGTTGGCACAATTTCTGGAAGATACTGCAATTTAAAAAAATAATTTATTGAGGTGAAATTTATATAACATAAAATTAACCATTTTAAAGCAAACAATTCATTGGCATTGAGTGCATTTACAATGCTGTGCAACCACCACCTATATCTAGTTCTAGAACATTTTTGTCCCCTTAGAAAAAAAACTCTACTCCCATTAAGCAGTGTCCCCCATCCCACCCTCTCCCAGCTCCTGGGACCACTGATATGCTCTCTGTGAATTTATCTATTCTGAATATTTCATGTAAGTGGAATCATACAATGTGTGACTCTTTAAATTGTGTTAAAATGAGTATAATGTGGAGCTGTCGCGGAACTACTAGACAAGCCCAACCCACTATGGCCGAGAACAGCTGGGTCACAGTGAGGATGCTGCTCAAGAAATGCCCCATAGCCACGCAGGCCAAGTCCAAGCAGGCCATCTTAGTGACTCAGGACAGGAGATGTGGAGACTTTGAAGAAATGTGTCATTGGCCAGAACAAATAGCATTTAATCGCCAAGAACACGGTCAAGCTGGACTGGGAGATGGAGGAGCTGCACCATGACCTGGTGATGAAAATCATTGAAAAGCTGCCGGCCATCATGGACAATGAGAGTGGACTGGCCATTCCTAACCACCAGGCTCTGGGCAAAATTGAAAGAGCCATTGGCCTCAGGCTCTGGGGAAGGACATTGGGAAGCCAGTTGAGAAGGGGCCCAGGGTGAAATGAACACAAAGCTTTGAAAGCAGTCCATTCCAGCTGATCTTGTCTGGCTGGTTCCTCTTGACCATCGGCACCAGCATGAGTCTCTTCACATGGCAAAGCAGAACACAGGGTGACAGCCCTGCCTGGGAAGCCCCTCTACCCAAACCTG